GACTAGAAAAAAGTGATATTTCCAGTAGTAGTTAGCACAGGTAGTTAGTAAGTTAAATCGAAAAATAAATTTGTAATAGATTTATAAACAAACATTGTTTCGGATGAATACTTGCCGCAAAAAGTCGCATAAAGCCAAAAAATTTGTTGTTGTTCGTCTCTCACCCACGCTCTGAGATTTCGTAATATTTAAATTTTTAAAGGATCAATTTGGTCTCAGAGATATGCGATAAACATCTGTTAAGGATATGTGAGCGTCCCATGATTAGCTGAAGATTAGGAGGAGGGGAAATCTAAGTGGATAACTTCGAGAATTTTCAGGCATGTTTGAATAGCAAGAGCATAAGAGAATCATACCGAACGTAACACGGCATACAAGGTTACACATCCAGAGAATACTTCTTAAAGTTATTACTAACAGCTGACAGAAAAACAAAACAAACATAATGAATTGGATCTCTAAAAAGAAAGTATGTATGGGAAAGTGGAATATGGCTGTTGGCTTGAATTTCATAACATTAATCGGGAAAGCTCAATAAAGATCAAACTAATAAGTAGATGATTCGGGTTAGAAGAGAAGTTAGTTTTTAGTTAATGATTCATGTGCTTTATATTTTTAGTCGTGCTTTAGATCCCAAGGTCTCTTGGAAATGAGATATGTTATAGGGCCTTCAAGTTTAAATTTGCCTCCAAACGGCTAACGGATTATATGAGAAGCTTGTACGATTCCGCTCAGAGGTTTTCCATTTTTTGTCATATTAAGAATGCTACTATAAATTGCTGTTGGTTAGGAGTGGCATTGATAAGGAAAAAGAGGTTAGCTTAAGACAGGAGAGTATATAGTAAAATAACATTAATCTCCACTATACCGGATCACTGCATTGTAAGTATCACATCTCATGTACGAACATATTTTTTCATATATTTAAAATTTTGTTTTTCATTTTAAAGTCCACAGTATCGCTTGCCATACTATGTACATATATAACCGGAATTTTCGAACTTCCATACCCCGACAAACTTCAAGCTGAACATTTCGTGCACAAAATGTTGCAAGCAACACACAACAACCGCTGAAGCACGAAAATTTCACGCTATGTAGCGTGCTCGCGCATAAGGAAGCGTTCCAATTTTATGCGCTTTTATTGCAACGGTAAATTTAATTTTTGCCAAGCATACGAAAAACGCTACATTCCGCACAACCGTTGGTGTGTGCATACATTTGTAAGCTCGTGATTTACTCGACACCCCTCTTATACCGCTCCGTACGTGAACACCTCCTCCGCATTCTTGCGCGCTGCTTCGTGCCATTTCATATTTCGTTTGTTTGCTTACTGTTATTTGCGACAATTGAAGAATATATGATTGCGCAAACACACACATACATATGTATGTAGGTTCGTGGCTGTTATGCGAATGTGAATGTGTGCCTCGAAGGCGGGAAATCACTTTTGCAAACATAGCGAAAGGTTGTAGCATTGACAACGGTTGCACTTCAGTCTGGCGTGATGGCACAACAAGTAGATGAAGCTGTGCGCTGCATTTTAATTCTGCCATCCCCTCGCTCCGCTGGACCACGTCAACGAAAGATCAATGTAAACAGAACGAATATGTCTGCGGGCAACACGCTAACCCTGTGTTGAGTTACTTTCAGTCAGATCATGCGGCTGCCGGTAACTCATCACTCACACATGCAACTCTGCTCTGTACTGTGTGTTGGCAGTGGCTGTGCTGTGCTGGCAATGTGTCTTCGTGTTTTTCGTATGATTGCATCCATTGTTACTCTTCGTTTGCTCAAATCAAATTGAAATGCGATTTTCGTATCAATTGTGTGAAATCCCTGTGTTATTGTTGGTTGGTTGGCAAAAATAAAATGCATTTGCTGCCTTTTGTGGCAAGTAAATATGGGTGAATGGCAAGATTTCGAAAGCAGATCGGCAGCGCTGAAAAATGAAAAAATTGGGTTGTTAAAAAAGCACAACACTGTCTCAGCTTAATTCAGATATGCTAGAAGATGTAGTGGCGCTGATTTATGGGGCTGACGTTATGTTTACTTAATGGGAAAAATTCCATCCTACCTATGCACAATTTTTTGACATTTAAATTGAAAGTAATTTCATAATGTTAGAAAAAGCTAGCGAACTCTGGCTTGTCCCGGTTTATATGCCGCATCACGATGAGATGGAGCCACCTCCGCATCTGCTGAGAAGAACTCTGGCTGAGGCCAAACAAAGAGAATCCGGCCTAATATTTGTCTCGGTTGTCAACACTACGCACACCGCCTGGGGAAGCTCCGACTTAAATGCGAGAGGGAAATCACTTTTTAATTTGATATGCAGTAATAACCTTTCTATTAGTAAGAACTTCCCCATTTTTGTGACTGTCAGCAGAGCGGAGTTCAGAAATACCAATTGATACATGTATTGCGGGAAACTTCGGTCGCTCTTTCAAGCTTGCTCGACAAAGACTCGATTCTATCCGCAGCTGCGATTGACGAGTTCGTCAAGATCTTCAGCTCTGTGGGTAGGACTACTCTTGAAAGCTCCTGTCCTCTGAAAACACAGATAGGTCAAGGGAAAGCTCTTTGGTGGAGAAGTGGCTCTAGTGACAGATGGGGCGTTGTATAAGACAGCTGGCTATATATAAGTCCGAGTTAAAGAAAGCCAAGAGAGCCTCGGGGAGAGCATTCTACAGAAGTAACATATAAAGAGCTGGCATGAGTTTTTACAGTTAAGGTGCTTTTTTAGCGAAAAACCCTATTTCACTGAGGTATCTAAGAAATTTCGATGTTGGTTGGACCGTGAGCAGCTAGGAGTCTTTGAAACTACTCCTGGATGCTTATTTTCCGTTAAACTATGCTGCTGAAGAAGTGCCGCTGGGGGAGCTTCGAGAGGGCTTTACAGCCTTCGTGAACCTTTTAGTTGAATGCCACTTTATCTGGGCGTTGAATTTATGCAAGTTAATGGAGGCATGGAGGGTATTTGACACAGAACAAATAGTGCTCATCGACTACGGAGCGATATTTAAAATGTGAACATGAATACCGTTGCTAAAATTTCTGCGTATTTTGATGAAAAATGTTGGATAGATCTTAAAGCATGGGAGAGTATTACTCAAATGGTATGTGTTCTCTCTAATGACTATTTTTGACTTGAGCATACTTCTAATAAGCCATTTATCAGTTTTATATATAGGTTTCATTTTGAGGTTCCCTACCTATTTAAAGAAAAAAGCATAGAAAATTCAATTTTAATGGAAAATGATTATTATCATTCAAAAAAACATTTTTTGGCATTTATTTTTTAGGCGATTATCTCTTTCAAATGTTGGCCGCGACTACGTCTCACATGGTCCATCCGTTGAGTCTAATGACACGCGTGATGTTTTGCTCAAAGGCCTGAAACGGAGAAGGAATTATCCGCGTGGACTTTAGACTTTACATATCTCCACAGAAAAAAGTCTAACTGTGTGATATCAAACGATCTTGGTCCGAACCGACTCTCCACGGTCTTTGTGTACAATCTCAGCTACGGCCGCTATATTTTCTTCACTGTGTGCTGGACGTGGTCTATTCGGTCGAATATTATCCAATAATGAATGCTGGGTCTCAAGACGGGTGACGGCGAATAGTACGCTCAGTAGGCCGATTATGTTGACCATAAGTTGAGCGAAGCGGGAAAAACACATTGTTTGCAGAATTTGAATTTTTGTAATAAAGTTAAAAGATTTGTAAATGTTTTTCAGACGTAAGTCTTTCCATGATAAAATGCCAAATAATATTGCACAAAAATAATATGACAGCTTGAAACGACTCATGCGTCAAAAAAAGGCTATTGAAAAAAGTACCTCTATTTGGATCATCCATATTAATGTACTCATAGCTCGATGAAATATTAGCTATATACAGTATTCACCACTTATTTAGTTTCAGTTCGAAAATTGCACAATTTTTTGCGTTTTTAATTGTGAAACCGTTTGCGATTACAGGAAAAACTATTAAAGAAAAACTAAAATTTTTTTACACATTTATTCTGAATACGAGAAATACTCGAATATTAAATAATTAATAAAGTTGAATTACGCGAGAAAATTTAAAACTTTTTTGTGTCATTTTTTGACTTCATCAATGAAGACCACTTAACAAAATTTTTTTCATTGTTAATGTTAATGTTTTAAATCACAACCGCAGCTTTTCAAGCCTTAGACAAAATGTAGTGAACTGTCAAGTTGGATAACATAGGCATATACAAAAATATATATTTTCATATATGTATATGAGTTGCAGATATATATCTCAGTGCATTTACATACATACATGTTATTTATACATAGGAGTATGTCTGTATGCATCTAACACAAAATGCAGTGCTGTCACTGCTCCTGCCACGCTATTCACATGCGGTTGCGCTTAAGTGCACAAAATGTCAATTGAAATTTGGTTAATTTGTCATCCATGAAGCGTGGCGGCACAGCGTGCTTGGCCAGCTTGGTTAGCGGTCAATTGTGGTCTGATGTTCATGATTTCGTCGACGTCAATGCTTAAGTGGCGATGGTGGCACTGATTAGTAGTTTAAATGTTAAGCAATATGGGAGGGATTCAAGGAAAGAAGAAAGCCACGAAAAAAAGTGGTAAATATTAAATTTTGAAATTTCAAATATTTAGAAGAAAAATATTCAATTCCATTTCTAAAGAGAGAGAATTCCAATTTAATGAGAAGAAGAGCTACATATTTGAAGTAAAACACTCAGAGCACAGGTAGTCACTAAACCGTTGGACAGAGTCAATTTACAAAAAGCTTTTATGAGAGAGTAAAACTAAAATTCTTCGAGATGTACTTTACTGATCCACATGTCTATCTTAAGAGTCACTGGGACCTCTGAAATATTTACTTTTAGCAAGCTTCCTTCCGTCGCCATGGTAGGTATGCTGACCGAACATAGTCCAAAGGACGCAAATTGCAAAAGCTATACGGAGGAAGACTGGAATCATATAGGTACTTTTTACTCAAGTGTCTACCTTTTAACAGATTGAGGTTGAACTATTTCGGTAGACACACCTTCTGTGGCTGGGAGTGATATTAGACGAATTAACAAATTGGTGATAAACTCAAAACGCTTCGTCGATCTATAAGGGTCCGGTGTTCCATGTGTAGAAGTTTTGGGAATCTCGCAGGATCATCGTTCAAAGCTGTCTAAGTGGTATCTCGCGTTCACTTTGGTGCGAGGATCAGCCCTACGACCTAACACAACCTAGGCGTCGTTGCAAATGCTTTATTTACGTGGATTTGATATACACCCAACATTATAATTATCTTGTTTATCAACACTCAAGCCAAAAAGAGATATTTTTAGAGGGTTAGCCTCAACGCATGAAGGCGCCACTGTCACAAGAGGAATATTTACTATGATGGGGATGTTTATCCTCGCCGTGCATTTTTCAACCGGGTTAAAGAAGTCAGATCTTTGCTTAGTCGTGTGTATGATGCTAAAAGAAGACTGTGTGAACAAAAAATCCCGTTCGATAAATGGGACACAACTCTGTCTTAGGAAAACGGACATCAACATACCGGAAGCCAATGAAAAGGGCCTCAGCTTGCTATGCGCAGCTTAAGGGAGCTTTAAGAAACTCTCCAACGGCGGCTCTTGAACTTGTGCTAAACCTGCCACCTATAGATCTCTTCGCTGAAAACTGCGCAGTAAAATCGGCGGGACGACTACTGGCTGCAGGAGAATTTACATATAAAACCTGGCGGTCTGGCAAGCACCGACTACATGATCTCACTTTTTAATTGCAAAAGAAAGTTCAGAGTAAACATAGGAAAAGAAGGTAGGATTTATTTGGATAGCTCGAAATTGGAGGACGGAATTGGTACGGGGATCCAGAGTTAGGCACAAAGCAGCCTTTTAAGCTGTCGGACCACTACCATATATTTGAAGCAGAGGCCTTTGCTATTGGGAAAGTTGTGCAGCTAGCCTCTTATGCATCAGCAGGCAACTCCAGAGTTAACATTTACGTAGCCAGCCAAGCTGCAAACAAGGTTATAAGCGTGTTTCACATGTCGGCCAAAAGTGGGCATCAGCAATGGGGCTGTCACCCGAAAACGTGATCAACATTGGTAAGCCCATGCATTGTCTATAGGTACAACGAAAGATCTTTATCACCTTGGAATTTTCTAGAGAATTGGAGTATGAGATTTATGTGCTTATGGAAATCTTCATACAAAGCAGTGAGCTATATTTTATAATGACCCACAAAAAAATTCAACTTGCTATGTGTGACTGACGTTGATTTTATCAGATGATGTGCGAACTCAAATAACGTTAGTGATTTTCTAAACTAAAAATTTTTTTTTACAAAAAAAAGTAAGCAAACATAATAAAAAGGGAAATCATGTAGAAATTTCAAGGAAATGTGTGCAAGCTAAAATAACAGATTAAGAGGTAAATATAGTTCTAAGTAGAAAAAAATGAAGAATAAAGTCAAAAGAACTTGCAAACTAAGCGCGAAAGCTTGCCAAGCTTAATACAAAAATATTTCAACGCGCCCAGACGGACGACGCCAACTGGAGCGTGACACAAACATTTGATTACATAGAACCCCAAAAAGAAAGAAAAATAAAACAAATAAAGAAATCAATAAATGTAAGAAAAATAGCAAATGCACACACTTGGACGCTGAAGTTTAGTAATTCACTGTTATTTTTGGCCCTCAATTCACTTTATTGCCTTTTCGTTTTCTTTTACAACAAAGCTTAAGTGCTACAAGCCGAGTTGGCTGCGCTCACACACATAGAAGCACAAACGAAAACATTGCCAAGAAATGAATTTTTGCATTCCAACGCCTAATCGCCGAGAGAAAACAAAAACGAAGAGTTGTATGGCGAATAAGTTGCCAGGCCATAAGCAAATATTGTTCGTCTATCGCTTTTTTACGCATACCTATACCATGGTCCGCAAATATTTTCAACACTCCCAACTCTGATATCACTACGCTCATATTGTTTTTGTACGTATCATATTGTTTTTGTTTGCAACCGAAAAGTCTTCAATATTTTCCAGTTCGCAGCCTATACCTACCTATTTACCGATTTGGGTTTGAGCCAATCTCATCGCACACTTGCTATGCTTTTGTAGGTCACGTCGTGACAGCAGTTGTTAGAAAAGTAAGCTTTTTTAGATTCGAGCGGAAACGGAACTTAGATAATGGATCAACACAGAATTAGTCGCGAAAGTTTGTAATAGCCTACCGAGTGGCGACTTTTAGTAAAAACTTCTTCTATAATATTGGAATTGAGCTTGAACATATTTGAATTGCCGATCTGGTCAAGATTTCCTCGAACGCTATTATGGTCCACATTAACACGAACCTACCAAAAGCGGTTTACACGATTTAAAAGAGGTGATTTTGGCTTCGAAAACGAGAAATGTCCCGGGCGGCCAAAAACGTTAAAAATGGAGAAATCGCAATCATTTCTCGATGAAGATTGTTGCCCAACCAAAGAAGAGCTTGCAGCATTTTTGGGAGTCACTTAGGCAACCATTTAAAACGCTTAAAAACAGCCGAATACATTGAAAAGCAAGGAAGGCGGTTGAATTAAAGGTAAGAGACGTTGAAAGATGATTTCGTATCTTAGAAAAACTGTTTAAACGCTGCAAAAATACGTCGTTTTTGCATCGGATTGAGACTGGTGCTTAAAATGCGACAATCCTAAATGCAAAAAATCAAATCTGAAACCTGGCCAATCAGCCAAATCAATTCACATTCGCCTTATAGCCCAGACCTTGCCCCATCAGTTCATATCAGAGTCGGGTATAAAAAATTTGCTTGATTCATTCTTTGCCGCTAAGCCGGCGCTGTTTTTTTGTGCTGCAACTGGTTGCGTTCAAGAGACTAGAGCAAGTAAACAAATCTCAGCAATTGTTGAAATATAGTTTTTCTTCTTTAAGGTTATTTCAGATCTTTCCTTGGAACCTTCGGTTTGGACTGGCATATCCTTATACTTTTGTTTGTAGTCTGAAAGTTGTATCTGTAAGTCTACTAGGTCATGTTGAAATTTACTCTTTATTAATCAGTGTTCTTTGAAGTGTTACGACTATCATTTCAGCAGACTGTAAGAAAAACTGCGCGGTGGGATTTAAAAAGCATGGTGTCTAGAAAGTTTTTGTGTTTTACAGTTTATCACTTTCTCTAACAGCCTTAGTTTTTATTAAACTTCATCGAAGGAGAAACCATGTATTTTCGAAATAAATGGGTGTTCTTCACCACGATCGAAAATTCAACAAAATCGAAATAAGTGTTAAATCTTTGAATCAAGGTTACGTAACGGAAAAAGCGGTAAGATTCGTGAATCTTTTTTTATTATTTCTTCATTGGTTTCATTCACTTGAAGCAGTGTTTCCAGAGCTTCTAGTAATTTATTGCCGTTATAAAGTTTTATAATACACACTCGCCACATTTTGGATGCGGGTATAAACTATACACGTGTTTTTACATTACTGTGTGTTGATGAAAGGGGTAGGTGTGTAAGAAGTACCAGAAGTAACGGTTGTATGACTTAACACGTGTTGGCAGCGCCGTTATAAGTCGTGTGACTACATAAATTGTGTGTGTGTACGCGCGAAGGTTTTCGTTTACGCCGAAAGTAAAGATAAACTGCGTGGAACGGCATTTATGCTGCTGGCGGATGCCATGGGAAGTCTGCTTGAGCGCCACGGGCAAAGTTAAGCGATTACCCACAACGGAAATGTGGTCTAGAGGAAAAGACAATAAAAAAATCAGACCTCGAGGTTGTTTTGGCGGTGCTGGTTGGTTATCAACAAGCATATCTTCACACGACGGCTTACATATTTACAACGTCTACAATAGGGGCCGCGAAAGCAAATAAATGATTAGAAATAAAGCTTGGCAAATAGCAAAATGAAGAGGTACGAAAGTCTGAGTTAAAATGAAATAAAAAGAAAGCACTTTACTCCAAGAACTAGTAACAATAACAAGACATGTGCTTAAAGGTAAAAAAATGGCAAGGAACAACTTAATCAGCGCCACAGATGGCGCTACCTGCCGCAAAGCAACTTAAATCACAATTGCTGCTCTAACTTGGCAACACCGTGGCTGTTGTGGCACTTCATGGCGCTCTACTTGCGGATTATAGCGCTTACAATGCGGTCACACATGTGACAGTTATGTACATGCTTACAGCACACTAGACACCTGCGCTAATGCTAGTTGGTAGCTAGTTTCCTGCTGCAAGCCACAACGCTTTTTCAAGTGTACTCGTAACTTTTTTCATGGCTTTCGCTTTTCTATTTTGGCATTCCTAACAGTTTTTCAAGTAGCATTTGCCCACTTGTACAAATAAAGTGACCAAATCGCTTGTCTACCTGTGGTTTAGGAGTTTGTGGAAATTGTTGGGAGAACTACAAGTAGTGTGAGTTCTTGTCGGCTTATTGGTTAGAGAACCTTCTAGGAAAAGTGTGAATGGATTGGAAAGAAGTTAAAAAATATGAGGTTTGTTTTACGAATAAGTTTTGGTCATTATAAACAAGTAGGTATATCTATGGGGATCCGATATCGGTGGTTACGATAATTTAATAGCTTCTTGGAGAGAAAAGGACGTGCACAAAATCTCTGATCGGAACGTAATAAACTAAGCGACTTGTTCGTTTATATACAGACAGACAGAGGGCCAGAACTAAATCGACTCAGCTCCTCAGCCTTATCGCTATATATATATATACACCTCATGGGGTCTTCGACGTTTCTTTTTGGGTATTACAAACTTCATGTTAGGGTATATTAAAACTGGTAGAAACCATCAAACCCCAAGACTCGAAATTATTTCAATGTTTGTAAAATTATAATTTAATATCAATATTACATTAAATTAAAGACTTTCAACAGGCGGCTACCATTTTTCGAAAATATTTTGCACTTTCTGTTCTTTTAAACCACTTCACAACCTAATTGTAATGTCTCTATAAAACCTCTAAATAGCCTACCTTAGCTCGAAAGTATTTTCATCTATCCTGACCTATTTGATAACTATTTTATAGTGTTTCTTTATCTTCAAATATTCTTAGAATCTTAATTTTCTTAAATCTTCTACCACAGATATATTTTTAAAAGTTGTTTGGCTCGAAGCTTATAATATATAGTAATTTAATATTTGAATAGGTGGCAACTCTTCCTAAAAATATTTTCAGCTATAGAAAACAGTTAGTGCCGTTTGTTCATGATTTTATAACACCATGGCTCCAATTACAAGTTCAGGCTCTCACAGAAACCATCATTCTGGTTAAAAAAGATCGGAACTGATGACCTAGACACTTTTACCAAACCAATATATAAAATCGATTCGAAATCAAGCTTAATAATTTAATAAACGAGCTTTATTTTTCTGTGAAAATTATTATAGTAAGTTGAGTCGACTTAAGCAGGGGTAGGTCGGTAAAAACAGACCCTTTGATAAATACAATATATCTTGTTAGATCAGATAAGAATGAGACTCAAAATTCCCATTCCAACTTTCAGTTTCCATTGAATTTCGTGAATCTTTACCTGCTGCCGTTGTGCCTCGTTTGGCCACCACAAAACTCACATGTATAGAAACCCAGCTACAGCATCGTAAAAATTAGTTCAGCGATGGTTGCAGGTGGTAATGGCTGTTTGGGTTTATTATTGCTCGTTTGAGCGGCTTCGTGTGTAATACAACGGGATTTTTCTCGCTTTTGTTTCAACAACGCCATTGCGTTGGCGTATAAATCGAGTTCAACAATTTTTATTGCCGTTCGGGTGTGAAATTTGTTGTTGGCGCATCGCAATGACAATTGCTACCAATCGTTGGCAATCGACAAGCGCCGCTCTCACTGGCTGTTGTGGTGATGTAGTGGTGGTGGCGCCACACCAACATCGCACTTTTCGCGAAAGCAAGCGAATTAATTTGTAACGGTGCATACGGTGTTGGTGAGCAAGTTTGTGGTAAACGAATATGGTGAAGGAGCAAGAAAGAGGCAAGCTATTGGAGTGCAAATTTTCGTATGGCCCTGAGCTGGTTGGGATTATTGAATGTGTGTGTGTTGGTAAAGTTTAAATATTTTTTATTTGCTAAAGGATATAGATAGGCGAGATAAATGCCATACATTAAATGAGAAATATTTATTTAGCGGTTATAATCTGAAATGCTGAAAATTTTCCACTCTGAAGAAAAGTTTTCGAGTGTTTAATTTCAGTTAGCAATTGATTGCTCTACAAGGTTTGTGGCTGCCATAGTTGAATCCGTAAAGTTCTAGGCATTGCAAGAACATTTCTTGTAATGAAATTTTAGGTTTACAATTCGACGTAATAACTCTCTAGAGTAAGTCATTTATTGCAACGGTACTTTGATACCGTTATATACTTTCTCAAAACTAGTTTGATTGTGTGTCACAGCTGCCAAGTTAATGTTATTAAATCGTACTTATCAAATTTCTATTAAAAAAAAATTCAAATAGGTGGTAACAATATCTACAATATTTTTATCTTCTAATTTTGTGATTTATTAAAAGTTTCTACGACAGTAAAGCTTCTTAAATCAGTTTGTTTTGTTGTTCATACTACAATTTACAAATTTTTTATTTATCAAAAGTTTAAACAGGTGGCAACTCTTTGCCAAATAGTTTAAATATGTAGCTTTTTTAAATATGTTAGTGGTGTTTCTGCATAATATTTCATATTTCTTTCAAATATTTAATGTTTCTACTGAGGCTAATTTTGAGCAGGTGGTAACCCTTTAAAAAAAAATAAAAAATTGAATTGCAAGATTTCTAACACCACTTTAGTTTTAAACAAATTTGGTAGTGTGCTTCTTTAATTTATAAATGTGTTTGACTTAAAAATTTGAAAAAGGTGGCAACCTTCTAATTTTGGTTTTGGTTTAAAGCATTCTAGTAATACACCAAACATTCCAAAAATTATTCAGCATTGTGCTCACTTCATTCATATAAACTATGGCGCCTTTCTCTACACCGTGAGTGTGACGCCACTTTGTTGCGCTACATATTTTCGTTGCAGTCAAACGCTTTTACTACCATGCCTAAAAAATATTTTTTCGTAGATATGATTTGCATTGAATCATGAATTTCATATTACAAAACGTTTCCAATCACTTCTCTTAACTATCCAATACTCCAACGCATTGAAGCCGCAATAGACTTCTACTTCATATTTTTGCCATAAAATATTTAACCACATAGTAATTTATTTACGAAAATTACTAATACATTTGCCTCTAAGTATCCACCGAAATTTATGACTCTAAAATAAACGAGCTTTTCATGGTTTGTTGCTCTTTTGTGTGACATATGTTTTTTGGAGAGTTTTTTATGCTTTCGCCATTAAACTTTCGTAGCACGCTTTTTTATTGAGCTCTTTTCGCTTTACGGTTGTGTGTGTGTGGCATTAGATTTAATAGACAATATATCATAAAATATTAGTCTTTTATTGCCGACTATGTATTCGTGCTGTGTCGTGTGCGATTTTGCACTGGCATGCGGACACATTCTTTTGGCAACACGCAAATTAATAGACAATTTATCAAAAACAAAAATAGCAAAAAAGAAAATCGCAACAAAAAACGGAAATTGTCATTGTAAACAAAATGACACATAAATCAAAAACTATGTGCCGAGAAAGTGAGTTTCGAACAGTGGAGGGAGTGAGTATTGGCTGCAGCACTTCCGGTTTACAACGCGCATAGCAAATTATTTACACACAAATATCTATATCATAAATTACAACAACTTGTATTACGGTTTGTCAAACTAATGTTCGTTAAGTGAGCAGTAAATTTTGAAGTGATGGGAAGAGGAGGGTGGGGCAATATAATAAGCAAGACAAGCGATATAAAATTCCCGATAAAATGTGAAGAATATATTTATTTTAAACAGAAAATTACAAAAAAAAAAAATAATAATACGCCTAACAAGATTGTCAGCCTCTAACCAGATATATTGTGTACAGAATAGTGGTAACTACTTGATACAAGCTTTTTTTTAAACACTGAACTACTCCTGTGAGCTTGCAGACACCATAAAATAGTTGGATCTGATTGTTTGACGCCAGACTACCTGTGGTTAAATATCGATTTCAGAAAGACGCTTAAAAACAGACGCTTGCATTTATGGGCGAAAGAAGTCAGGAAAGACAGCCATAGGGTAATAGTGTTATCGCAACAAAATCCTCAAGTCGCTAGCACCTAGGGAAAGACAAAAGAAAAGGACAAAGTAATCGTCCGGTCGGGTCGTAAAAATTTTCACGTCAGGAAGATTCACACTTGTAAGAACACTGCACACCGGATAATTACGGGATGTCTTAGCGAACTTGCAGTCACCTGTTTGAAGCGGAAGCGTTTAACCGGGTGAGTAAGAGTACGGAGTAGTTTCTGAAATACATCAACGATATACATACATACGGCACCTCACTGTTCTAGGACGTAATTCATTGGCGGGGAATCAATGAAGGTGTTAATTAATACTTTCGTAGTGAAAAGTGTGGTCCTTGATGTGCTGTATATCGCCGACGTATTTCAGGAGCGGGCATCAAGAGAGCAAACTGCTCTTGTTAAGCGATTCCG